GGGGCGGGGAGGGCCTTGGGGGAGCGGCTTATCCGGATGTGTGCATGATGCTTTCTTTGCTAACCCGCCGTGCCAGGGCGAGAGTCACCTACGTCTAGCAAGGCTGGGCGCTAGCCAGGCTCGTGTGGTGCGGTGTGCCGGCAGGCAAAAAAAAAAAAAAAAAAGGCCCACAGACCGTTCACGAGCGAGGAGCTATATCGCAAGGAAGCTGGCTCCCCGCATGTGCCCAGAGATGGCGACGCGATGTCGGAACACCTTGTTGGACGCACATCTAGCTAGCTACCGACTAGGAGGCACATGGGCAGATATCAAAGAGACCTGGAGCACAAGCAGGCCATTCGTGCATCGGGACAGGCGAGATGACCATGTAGGCAAGGGAAACGAACATGCAATGTACGTAGGACAGGCGGGCGGGCGCTGCAAGCACTTGGCTGTATGCAAAGTAACCCAGAGGGACTGTTCTCTACGCAAGGGGGGGCACGGGGAGTGGGTGAGTGAGTGTGCACATATGTACAGCGAGCGGTACTAGGTATGTAGGTGGGATGTCGTGCAAGTTGTGGGATGCGCAGGGTGCGAGCATCACCGGAGCGGGCTCCAATTCCAATGGCACCTCTTGGAAAAAGGAAGAGAAGGAAACAGAAAAAAAAATCCAATGCATAAACTACCTACCAAACCCCGGCAGGTCGCCTTTTGGGGATGAGCGGTGAGCAGCAAGCGAACTGCGGGCGATTGGCGTATCAGCATCGAGGCCCTGCGAATGGCCTCTGCATGAGAGGGGAGGAGGGAGGAGGGGAGGAAGGGAGGAAAGCGGGCGAAACGAGGCTGGGCTGTTCAAGAAAAGAGAAGATTCGAATGGGACGGGGCGCCGAGTCACGCAGATAATAGGCTGGTGCCGTCCATTCTTCAAAGTGTCCACCGGCCGCGAATAGCGCCCAGCCCGGCGGCCAACGACGGCGGCTTATCCTGCATGCTTTGCCGTCCTAGCACCTTTTTTTTCTTTTTCTGTCTTGCGCCTGCCTCCCCACGCCTCTGACTAGGTAGGTAAGGCCCGCCATGGCGGGGACAGAGGTACGGATGCACGCCATTGAGAGAGGATGGTGAAGCGTGTGTGCGTTTCTGAGCATGCATGGCACCCGTGGCAAAAGGAAAAACCAAAAGGGGTGGACGTTTCGGGCATCCAGAAGCGCCTTCGTTTTTTGCACACAGCCTAGCGCAGCTTGGAGATGTCCCCTTTTGGGTTCCTATCAGTGCGCGGGCGTTGGCGATCCCGCAGATCACGAACCCTAGAGGGGGAAAAAAGGGCATGCTGATCTTTTTCTCTCTCTCTCTCTCACAACCACGCGCCGCCCACGGTACAAACCCCGCCCACCCCGTAAACTCCCTTCCACAGAAACGCGGGGCGGACAGTCTGATAACCAAGACACAAGAAGAGACAGACCAGCGCGAAGGAAGAACAAGCGGCGGCTGATGTGCCGTCTCTCGACGGCACCTGAGACTAGCTCCCTAGAAGTTTTAGGTTTGTGTCTGGGCGGCGAGCCGCCATTGGCCCGCCCATGTGCCATCAATGTGGCAGCAACTGGTCATGCAGCAAGTTGCAGTTTTCCGACCAAAGCGGAAAATGTGGGGGGATTCCTTTTTTTTTTTTTTTTTATGTGCAAGGCTTGTTCCGACGGGAATTTTATTGTTTTCACCGGTATATTTTCTTTTCTCCTTCTTCTCCCTTCCACCCCACCTCCTCGGTTCCCTGTTTTTGGCTTCCCGCGACCCTGGGGGATTCGTTCCCTTTTTTGTTATCCTGACCGCCCCTCCTCCCCCTCGGATGGAATGGAGGGGCATGGCGGGGAGGAGGGGGTGGGAAGGGAAGGGAAGCGTCGGAGCGAAGGGAGGAGGCAGATTGTCGCCCACGGGCTGATCCTCCCCCTCCTCGGTCGTCGTTGGTGGCCGTCTCGGCCGATCGCCCGCGGATCCCACTGCTGGAATCCGAGTCGTGACCGGCCCCCCTGCCTCTCGAAGCCACCGGCGCCACCACTCGGGTCCATGGCGTGCCTCGATTGTGTGCAGTCACCGCACCGGACTCGTTGCTGATAGGGTCCAGGGAGGCGGGTGAAGGATAGAAAGATGTACACTTGAGCCGTCTGGTGGTCGCTCGACGGGAGGGGTCGGCGCACAACCCACGGTGCGCCTCCCTCGAAGGGATAGGAGGATAGCAGTCGTGACCAAAACCAACGCTGGAGCTCCAAGTAAGCGAGCGCCCATTCAGAATGCCTTCACACCACCTTTTCTGGAAATCGTGCCGCATGTGTCGCATCTGCAGCGTAACATGGGTTTCTGCATCTCCACCGCCTCCTTTGGGATTCTCACACATGCACTCCGACCTCGCTATCTCAACCTGATTCCCGCCCACCTCCTATGACAAACTCCCCCCCCCCGTATGCACGTATATCAGACGTCTGGTATACCCCCCGGGCAGTATGTACGTGCGTGTACTAGTAGCTATGCGCAGAGACAGCCCGTTTGTGCACAGACACATAGGAAAGTAGGATGGATGTGGTGCTGGGAGCTGCGCGACTCGAGAGGAAGGCGGCATGGCGGGGTGAACAACCACTCACCAAAGTATTGTCGAAATTGCTGCTTGGCGGCGCCTACGCCGGGCCAAGTCGACCCGCAGACCCTTCCGACGCACTCGGGGCTGGCAAAGCACAGAAAAGACCCCCGGGGGCCCTCAAGTCCACTGGATGCCTTGGTTGGGGTTGCACACCGGTCTGCCATGGCTTGAGCGAGTGCCGGGTGGCGGCTGCGGACGCAGTCAGGGGAGAGTATCTGGCCATCTCCAAACCCATGCCTTGGTGGCACGGTGAACTGAGAGGAGGGTAGTGGAGGGGTACCAGCAAAGCTGCGGGCGCTTTTAGAGATTCGACGGGCACATGCGCACGAGGCTGATCTCCAAGCATGGTCACTTGATAGAGCAGCCACCCCAAGAAGCTCCTTGGAATGCATTTGTGGGAGGGGGCGGGGCCACCACCCCTGCTACAAGGGTCCAGCCGGGTTTGGCAGCGACTTGTCTCAAGGCTTATTCTCTGACGGGATTGGCCCAGCAAGCGACAACAGAAGACACAGATATCAAACCGCCTTCGCGACACACACACACACACACACACACACACAGCCCGGCGCGTCTGCTCAGCAACTGGCGGTGAGACTGCATCATGGCATTTTTTTCTCTCCCACACCACCCACCCTCAGTCATTGGCCGCGGGGGTGATACGGCGCATTCCGCACGTCGTCGCATTCGTTATTTTGTACGTCGCCTCCTCCAGCCTCGGGGCTGCGTCTCGCCCAAACCAGCCTGCCCTCTCCCGGCCCGGGCTGGGCACCTGACTGTCGGCCAAGAGGAGCTGCGCGTGTAGATGGGTTGATGGAGCTGCGGGCTGGAGGTCTCCGGGCCTCCCCCACGTGTACATCAAAACCTTGACATGATGCCACGGATGGAAGCATGGGAGGCTCAAGAGATTCCCGACAGCCAGGCGCCGCGCAAACCTGATTCGTCCTACCTGACTCGAACCGTGTGAAGGGAGCCAAGACGCCGTCTCTTGGGGCCGCGACAACCCATGCCTCGGAAGTGGAGTGTTGATAGTGGCCCCCTGTCTTTTGACCTCGGAGAGTGGGGGTTCGGTTTTTTTTTCTCTCTTGTCTTCCTTGTTTTCCCGTCCGTCGTCCTTTCACTTCCGACAGCCGCCCACGACAGTATCAGGTGCTGGTACCAGGTATTAGATGGTTGGCCAGTTCCGCTGTGCATCGCGTCAATGACGAAATTCAGGCAGCACATAAGCGGGAGAAGAGGCCGGAATATCCTCGAGATGCATGATGCTGGCGCATTGCAGCAAAACGCTTCCCGAAGCCAACCCCAGCGCGGAATCGTGCCCCACGATTCCCAATCACATCCCGCGTCCGTTGGTGCAGCGTGGGAGAAAGGTATGACATAATTCCTGGCTGCAGCCCGTGCGCGCGCCAAACAGAGGGAAGAGCGAAAAACGACGCTGCAGGCTGATGAATGCCGGCCTCTTTGGAAGAAGCGAACAAGAGGGGCTCCGTCCAGAGTGGATTCGGGAGGGACCATTGTGGGCCGCAGAAGAACGGGGGGGACCCAAGACGAGTGCGCTTCACATTGGGCAATCGCGCTGCGGCTGCTGCAAGATGTCGTCGTTTTGCTTCCAGCGGCCGGCGCTGCGTGTCGTCGCAGAACTGCTTCGGCAATACAGCCTTGAAATCGCCGTCACCCATCGCCCCGCCCCGCGCCCGCCCACGATCGCGTTTGTTTTTCTCGATCCCGCCGTCTGCGGGCGGGCGGGGCCTTGGGGACATGTGTTCTGACTGCTATTGCCTGCGTGCTATTGCCTGCGTGTTATTGCTGCGTGTTATTGTTGCTTCTGTGCCGCGAGGGGGAGGCACCACATGCCGCAAGACCCGGGGCTCCACGGCAAATCGCGACGGGTTTGTTCTGTCGTTCTTTTGAGATCGGCGCCGTGGAGGGTCGACAGCCACCATGGGCCGTGCTATCCTTGCACACACAAGGGGCCCTGTCCGAGTGGAAGTGGCACCTAGAAAACCGTGCTTCACGGCCGCCAAGCTGCCTAATTTTGTATGCCTAGTTGCTTGACGCACGGACTCTTGTGTGGAGCGCAGAGCCCAACCCAGATTCAATCGTTCGACCGGGGGCGGGCGAGGAAGACCCTTGAAAGGACCCGTGCCTCCTTCGACCGACGACTCGACACCACGACACCTGCCTCCAGATGCCATGTTCGCCGTGGAAACTGTTGGCCCGACCAGTCAGCCACGGCGCCAGGTTGGCGTCACGGTGGGACAAACTTTGACGTTCTTATATCTGCCTAGCTAGGCCGTATAATAACGTCACACTTTAAACAGAAATGCGTTTTTAGCTTGGCTTTATCACACTTGCGAATCGCACATCTCATGTGTCGTTCCCTTCCCCCAAGCCAAGGGTTCCATCGCCTTGATTCGTTATCCACATGTTCACCACTGTCTTTTTTTCTTCCTCGGGCTTTTACTGCGCCCATACCTATTCCCTTCGCAAGGCCAGGTTTCTTCTCGCTTATTGTTTTCCCTCCGTGAGGGGCCTGCTGTCGGGTCGAAACATCCCTGATCCGCGGGCTGACGCCAACATGGCTCGGGCGCTCGGTGGCACCCGTAATTTGCGACAGGAGCCACTAAACGCTACGCATAAAATTTCTGGCTGGAGCCGGGACGATAGCAACCGATGGATCGTGCGGTTGTCAACATCCCCGCGGGTGATGTTCAGGCACGCGAGGTAAACAAACAACACGGACGGCATTATGCCTGCTTGTTTTTGTGGTATTTGGTGACTCTGTTGCTATGCAGTCACTGCAGCTACTACAACGGCATCGAAGCATAGAAGATGAAGAAAACTCCCTCCTCTTGATCGGCGCCTGCGGCTTGGTTGCGATCAAGGGCGCCACCGGTACAGTACCAATGGCAGTGACAGTCGGGCAGTGCCAACTGCAGGAGCGGTAGCTGTGACACCGCCGCAGCACATAGTAATTGCCCAGAAATCCAAAATCGTCAGCCCACATCGCGCACCCCGCCATAATCGCGAGGCGTCAACGGGCAGTGGTGGACGTCGCAATGCGTGAAACCCAACCACCGTCGGTGCCACCTGCCGGGCCAGCATTGCGTTTTTGTCCCAGACAGTGCGCACCCATGACACGACTGCTAGACGAGATCGCGACAGGCGACAGTAATCCCCCCAAGGGCCCTGTTAGTAATATCTGCAATTTGGGTGTCGACGGGAAAGCAGCCAGGGGCCTTTTTAGTTCCGTCTAAGTGGAGCAAGCTAAGTACCTCGGGCCTCAGTCGCCACCACTCAGCGGACGCACAGCGGGCGACGGAGGGACTCCGGGCACAGAGGTGCTCCCGCCGCGCGATAGGCTTTCAAGACATGCAGGGCTTCAGAAGGTGGTGCAAATGAAGACGCACCACCTCCCGGCAACGCTCCGTCATTGGCCAGATGATCGTCTCTGCTCTGGCGGCGGTAAGGGGGGGTGGCCGGTACGTGGTAGTGGACAGAGTGACCAGAGAATATGTCGAGTAGAAGAAAGGAGCAACCGCAGCGAGCGAGTTGCGCAGGTCAGAGCCTGTCGTCAGAGTTCCACAGCCAAGGTCGCAGACCGACACACACGCTGCCAGAGCCGACATCCGGGGCGGTGACGGGCAGGTTGCCATCAGGGAATGTTGGTTGGCCGCCTGGCTTTCCCAACGCAGTCGCGCCGAGCGCTTGTTTCTCCTAGGACGAGAGCACGTAGTAAGAAATGGGCGGCAGGGTAGATTGGCTGGTGGCCGTGTTGATCCCGGTCGCGACGGGGTGCTGAGGTTTGTGGGTTCTCGCTGGGTTCTCGCTGGTGGTTGTGACTTGGGCCTTGCCCACCTGCTGCGTCCGGGGCCCTGGCACAGGTAGACTGGGGTGCCCCCCAGCAGCGCCGATGAAGGGATACCCTCCACCCCAACATGGATGCTGGCTGGGCTTGCACTGCTTGCGACTTGCCAGTGCGCCCAATACGTTCAAATTAATAAACGCTTGCCTCCCCGCACGCCCATTTTGTATTGACATTGCTCCCAAAACGCTTCTCCAATCGACTCCTGTGCCTGCCCGAGAGAGCATCCGCCTGTGACGAGGGCGCGAAGGTGTCATTCCACTGCCCATCGCCTCTTTTAGAGACGACCGACACGACACCCGCGCGAGTGTGAATTTCGTTCCTTACTTCTTTAATAATTTTCTTCACTTCTGGTGGACTGTCGACTGTGTCATTCCTGCTGCGTCACTGGCGGCGAAAGAATCACTCCAGGTGAGTTGCGTCGGGCCGTTGGGCGAGACGGGATTTTGCTCCTTTTCTCCTTTATCACCAAGAACTCTCCAACCCCGCCTGCTATTCCGCACCTATTCCTCCATCCCCGACACCGACCCTCGTGTTTCTCTTTGCGAAGACGGCTCCCCTGTGTTCCACCGTCTCGATTTGCACAAAAAAGTCCAAATTTCCTGTCGCCCGGGAGGGGTTTGTGCCGCCCCGGCGCCCGGCTGGCATCACGACTGCGCTCGGATTCCAAGACACTAGGCCACCTGCCTGTCTCGCCCCGTGACAGGTCTGCGCGCCTCGGGAATGCTCCGCCAGACTGGACGAACCCCGCGTGCATGTCTTTTGTTGTGGTGGCCTGCCGCACTTCTCGCACCCGCCCGATCTGCTTCATCATCTGGGACCGCCCGCAACCAGCGCCTGGCGAGATCGCTCTCTCGCACAATTCCAACACAGTGATCGACTGCATCCTCTCGAGACCGCCATTTACCCAGCCAGCCGCAACCTCCCTCCTTGGACCTGCTGCCTGCAGCCGCGTGGGCCCGCCCTCATAAGCACCACGCCCTGTCTATCCGCGTAAAAGCCACCCGTCCGGCGACTCATTCTCGCCCGCCTGCGCACACGCCTCTCCCACCGGGCCGGATGCTCCTTTTCTCGTCGACCACTCTGGACCACATCAGCCATAATCAAGTCAGCATCACTCGGCCTGGCCTCTTCTGCACTTTTTTTTTCTTTTCATCCCCACCAACCACCTCTCCTTGCTTCTCTTCCTCCGTGGCGGCTGGAGCATATGTATTGCTTTGCTTTCTTTGCTGTTTTTCTTCATGGAACACCACAGGCTTTCTTTTTTCTCTCCGTCATGGGGGAGACCTTTCAAAACTAATACCCATCTTGAACCAGGCAGTCAGTTGAGTTCTAAGACGGCCATAATCTTGCGGCGTCTCGCGAGCCCGAAACCTACTCCGAACCTTTTCCTCCCACAATCCCCCATGGATTCATAATCGAAGCTGCAAACATGGATTCGGAAGACGGGGAGTTGTTCATTAAGGTAGGAACTCCGCGACATCCCTTACCTTCGCACATTCCTAACGGCTGATTTGTTATACAGCAACTGGCGACTTTCGTGCGCACGCACGAGAAGGCTCTCGCCAACGCCTTGCAGTTTAGGCGCCAGAACCTCCCAAGGCATGGCTCGTCCCAAAGCGTCTCGTCGATCTCGACGAGCAACATAGTCACTTCCCCGACCATCCCAGAACGACCAGCCACATCTTCCTCCACCTCCGGCACCCTCGCTGCTGCGCTCTCGCTCGGATCTCTCAACTTCACCTCGGCCTCTATCAAATCGGCAAAGCTCGCACTGACACCGCACCACCTCTTCTATCTGCTTTCCCGCTTCGAAGAGCTGGCCATCCCCGTCGGCCCCATGAAGATTCGGCTAGAAAACCTACACGACAGCACCACATCAGCCAACTACGTCTCGTTCCTCAGCCAGACGCAGCGCGCCAAGAGCCGTAGCTCTGATGTCGGCTCCATCCGCTCCGTTTCTAGCATTAGGAGTGTCATGTCCGGCATGTCTGCCTTGTGGGCCAGCTTCGGCATCGGCTCCGGCGTCTCTGCTGCTCGCACCGAGAGGCAAAAGGCTGCACTCCAGGCTGATATGAAGTATCTGTACTCTGCCTTCACCAAGATCCCTTGCCTTAAGTTGGCACCGGACTGGCGGGCACGCCTCATCAAAGGCTACGAAGAGTTTCCTTTCGATTCCGCCGTGCCCCTGTACGTGTTTAAGAACGTGCAAGCACTCGAGGTCTGCGACATCGACTTCCGTCAGTTCTTTGGCTGGGATCGGCTTGCAGACCAGCTGAGGTCACTGACGCTGAAGCGGGCGGGAATCGAGGACCCGGCCGACATCCTGATTGACATCGTCCTAGACGATATGGACAAGCGTCGGAGACGGACATCAAAGTCTCAGGGCTCCCCAACCAACGCTTGGGGCGGGGGCTCCACCAGTCCCCGACGGAGTCCAACTGTCAACCAGGCCGAGCTTCGGAAGTCTTCTTCTGAGCCCGGTTCTCCCCAGCCGAGGCACTCGACGGGTGACCTGCACATTGGATCCCTCAATAGTGACATTAGCGTGAATGGAGATACCATGAGGCCACGCCTTGACAGGGAGGACAGCAACGAGCTTTCAACGTCGCCTTCCAAGTCTGGACGTCCAAGGAGCCACTCGCCGCGCCGCCCCTCTAGCTCAAGGAATGGACCATCCCATACACGAAGCTCTTACAAGGTCCGGCGGTCCGGGTCAGGAAGCTCTCATTCGAGCCTTTCGGACTCGTGGCACAACCACCGTGGCGGAAGCGCTTCGAACCTGCTCTCCATGGGCATTCTTCCAGCCTCGAAGTGGCGCTTCCTCAAGCACCTCAGCTTGGCCGATAACTCGCTCACATCAATCCCCGCAACCAGCTTGGCGCCTTTGTCAAACACACTGCACTCCCTCGACCTCTCCTCAAACCTCTTCACCCAGATTCCCGACAGCCTGGCCAGCCTGACTGCCCTGCGGGCACTCAACCTTTCCCACTGCATGATCGAGTCACTCCACTCGCTGACCCGAAACCCCCTGCCGGCCATCACTGCTCTAAACCTGCGTGCAAACAGGCTTCAGTCTCTCGCAGCCGTAGAAAAGCTTTATCCGCTAGAGAGGCTGGACCTGAGGGATAACCGCTTGACGGACCCAATGGAGCTGGCCCGGTTGACGGGCATTCCCGACATTCGGGAAGTTTACGTCGAGGGAAATCCGTTTACACGGACCCATCGCGATTATCGCATTACCATCTTCAACCTCTTCCGCATGACACCTGGGTACACCGACGATGTCACCATCGACGGCACGGGCCCGACGTACTCTGAAAAGAAGTACCTCGTGGAGCGTGTGCCCGTTCCTCCCGCGGTTCCGGTCGTCAAGCCCCCTGCCTCCGACATCCCCGCTGTCGACGTGGTCAAGCCGGCAATCATCTATGACGCCCCCAAGGAGCCCAGTGTTTTGCGCAAGGAGCGCCCGGCCTCCAAGGCCACCGCAAGCGAAGTGAGCTCCAGCTCAAGTCGCCGCCGCAGAGCATCCAAGCGTCGGATCGTCGACCTGGCGACCAACGAGGTCAATCCCATTCCCGTCGGTCAGCCTCATGCTGTCCCGGTTTCCGAGGCCATCCCTGGAGCTGCGTCCCGAGGTGGCGGTGGTGATAACTACCGTACATCACATACCACTGAAGTGCAGCGGCAAAAGTCTGCCACTCCGGCTTCTATAAGGAGCTCGACCAAGGGCGCCCTGCAAGGGGGCAGTCCGAATCTACCTGAAGTTCCGCGAATCGACACCGATATTCTTAGCACAGGCATTTTGCCGCATGCTTCACAAAGATACATACCTACCGAGGTCCATAATTCACGCAGGGACTGCCATGGTCAGGACTGGGACGTCGGCGGCGAGCTATACCGACGCAAAATCGAAGCCTTGCGAGACAAAGTGGGGCAAGGGTACCTGAGTGTGCTCAGCGAAGAGAGCTGGGATACATCACGACACACTCCGCCCTCGCACTACCACCCTTCTCACTATGGCGTTCCTAGTCCCTCTGTCCACTCAGACCCCACGACACCAAGACCCACGACTATTCAAGCCATCCATAGTGGCCATACCCTGGGTTAACGCCATCTATGTTATCGGCACCCCCCCTATTGGTGTCTCGCTGGCCAACTTGGGCTTTGGAGATGTGCAAATCTCCAAGTCGACCTCATTTTCAGCGCACATATCATACCCCCAATATTCTGTGATTCCAATCTCGGGTTTTCCATCCTATTCTGATGTTTACATGGTATTTTTGTTGTTTCTTTGGTCACTTATATGACGGAGCATAGCGTACTGGCGTTTTGAACAGAACGGCGTTTTTGTTTTCTCTCCTCATTATCCCTTGGGCTTTGCCTTCCCATATCTTCTTCTCTTCCCCTCCTCGCTGCTTGTGCCTGGTGTTGCTGGGGCGGTGGCATTTATGAGATCGGCGGACAGGATTCCGGCTAGAAAGCGCACCTTTTGTTTTCTCGACGATACCTCCCCACGATACCTCGCCAGATACCCATGCTTGGCAACATCCGTTTTTGTTTTTTGTTTGGTTTTAAGCCCCAATACCGCTTAGGACATGCCGTTGTGGCCGGCTGGTTGGCTCTTCTGCACGTGCGAATAAACGAAGCTTTGTGGTTGGTTCTTGTTACATCATGCTGCCTGCGGTTTGACCCTCCCAAATTACCTATTTGTTTGCCTTTGTATCCGTGTCTTCATTGCTTGGATTCGCGCATGCATTTAGCTCGAGAGTGTTCCGTTGTTATTTGGTCTGGCCCCTATTCCATTCGATATCGTTGATTTCGTTGCATGCCATCATCTTCAAGTGAGCCTCGGTTGTTTCTCCCCATTGCAATCCTTACTTTTATTGCCCATTCTATCTGCATCATTATCTGCCCTGTTGCTTCTGTTCCCGCTAGACGCATAGCTTTGTGGGTGTGAATAACCCAGCTAAAAAGGGCAAAATGGACACAGCAATGATAGTGCAAGCAAGACTCTAGTCGCATGAGGCAGGAAGGGTACTAGCACATGGAACCGACAGAGTATCGAGACGTCTAGGTAACCTTTTATTGATCATTATCTCACTTGCGCCTTAACGTCAACTGTCTGTACCCCCGGTCTTTCGGTGCTCGATTCACGCCGCTGATATTCGTTGGAGGTGGACAATGCTGGTGATCCCGCTTTGCACTCCCATTATTGTACTGTAGTCTGCCTACATAGGTAGGTATCTAGTTTACATTCCTTCATAGCCGGCCCCTTTCAATGACCTTTATGTATCGCCTCACAGTGCAATCCACCACCGTCCGACTTTTCTGGCAACCTGTGTGTTATCGCGTCCCAACGAGAACCTTAAGTCTCCCGCAGTGGCCCATAAAGGAGACCGCATCCATTTGTCTGCACAATCCCGGTCTGGGGGGCATTAGGTGATAGGTGTGGGTTTTCTGCAAGGGCCCGTCCCGTGCCTGCCAATAAACTCCATCGCGAGATGCTGCCAATTGCGCACGTGTGCTGACTTCCGTGGCTGTCGCGGAGGGCGTCCGAGTAACTGAATAAAAAAGTTGAGGGATATCAATCCCAGAGTAGGTATCCATACCTACCTGTCATTCTGGACACAGTCTTCGCTGCCGCGATTACGTCAACGAATAAATCGGGATAGTTTGGCAAGCAATGGGCGATCCGATCTACACGGCGATCACCACAAAAAAGCTACAGTAAAAAAAAAAGCGCCAGACTGACATGGCTGTCGTGCCACGGTGGGGAGGAGGAGAGAAGCGCATAAATTGATTGGGCTTCCATCGGCGGGGACGAAAAGACATGCCGGTTAGGTTTCGCGAGAGACGGATGGCCTGCGTGTGTGACAGGCACATATGTCTTGGCATAGAACCCTACGGGCAGCGGGAGTCCTCTCTTGCGCCTGACGAAACGGAGATGGGGCTGGTTGGGTGCCGCCACTTTATTCACCACCACACTGAGACGTTGGCCAATGAACAGCGACAATCCCACAGCAACGCGCATTTGGCAACGCGAACGCAATTGTCGGGGAAGCTCTTTCGGGACGGAAGGAAGGGTGAGGCGACGTGGAATGCATCTGGTTGAACCAATCGACAACTGAGGGCCCCGCCTGGATGGGCGCCTATGCATCTGCCCATATGTGCCTGGTGTGTATTGTGTATGTACTAGGTACAGGTACCTACAGGAAGTGGTAGGCTTTGATGTAGGACGTTGTCAGCCCGGGTTCGATACACCACCACAAACGGAATGGCCCTCAGGTGGGATCCTCCATGACGAGCATCCGCTATCCATGACAGACCCAATCGCCGCGCCATCTGCTTGTCTGGGGAAGCATGCGTGGGGTGGCGGGCGGCCGATCACGTGTTTGCTTTGGCCCCCCCCTGGCGGCTGACAAAAAGTGGATCGAGCAGGGTGCTCCTCCGTCCATGGTTCCCAATCTGGCTAGTGTGACTAAGGTGCCTCAACCTCATCGCAAGACAGTCGCGTCCACCTGTCTGTTTTCCGCCCCGAACGGTCACCCATCTTCCCCTCATCTGCTCGCAAACACACGCGCGATTTGATGCCTTCCCACCTGGACGCCACCCGAGATGCCTTCTGCACCGTCAACACCGCGGCGAGAGACGCCGTCGCGCCGTCGCGGCCGCCCGCGAGTCTCCACAGCCACCACGGCGCGATCCAGCCGCGCCTCGGGGAGTGCGACTGAGCCTCCCCACAAGAAACGACGATACGTCCCCGGCGGCCCAGGCGGCGGCGGTCGCTTCGTCGACGAGGACGGCACCGAGATCCCGGCTGAGCCCAGCGTCACCCGCCCACGGGCCCCCGGACCTGCGTCCGGCGCCGCCTCGTCCACCCCCAAGCCCACCTCATCCTCCTCCCAGAACCCTCTCGGCGCCTCGTCCGCCCCCGCTTTCCCCCGGCGGGAGCGCAGCACGCGAACACGGACCGCCACGAGCAGGTTTGAGCCCGATGACGAGCAGTTCAGCTCGGCCGCTGCTATCACCAGCGCCGTCATACAGAGCGAGGGCTACAAGCCGCGCGAGGAGCGCGGTTGGGAAGAGTTCCACCCCAACCTCGACATCGAGGCCACCTTTATGGTGTTCCACGCAGAAGATGTTGACGGCACTGCCAAGCCCGTGGCGCCGACACCAAAGCCGTCCTCTCAGACGCTCACCGTCGGCGCACCGACCCCGTTGGGTGCCTCGCCCCACAAGGATCAGGACGAGGATAACAAAACTGCCCAAGATGGCGCCCCCGAGACTCCCGTGGACGCTCCGCCTACCACGCGGCGCAGGGTCGGGAGGCCGCCCAGGGACACAAACACGCTCTTCGGGGGCCGGATGGACCTGTCCATGACCCCAAAGGTTCCCAAGGTGCTCCCCATCCACAACCAAACACCAAAGGAGCGGCTGGACCTCAAGCAACCTTCCTACCGCAACACGGACCGTATAGCGCTGTTCGAAAGTAAGACTTTTGGACAGGCTCGATACGTCGAGAAGTCCATGATGAACGTGGGGTACCAAGAGAGCGACAACTATGTACGACCCGACCGGATGCTCATCAAATCCGCAGACGCAAACGTCGACGAGGACGCGGAGCAGTCTTCTGTGGCCAAAGCCGATGCCGGCTCGGGAGCCTCCCCCGCCAACGCGCTCGGTCGGGTTGAGTACGACATGGACGAGCAGGACGACATGTGGCTAGAGAAATACAATGAGCGCCGCAAGGAAGGCAGCCTCGAGACGATAACGCGAGAGATATTCGAGATCACAATCACCAGGATCGAGAAAGAGTGGCACGCCCTAGAGAAGAGGATACCGAAGCCCAACCCCAAACCACCGCAGACCCACAGGCCGCGATCGAGCTCGGCCGCGGCCGTGAACGGCGAGACGCAGGCTGGCGAGGAGCAGGATAGTAAATGCGCCATTTGCGACGACGGCGACTGCGAAAACACGAATGCAATAGTGTTTTGCGATGGCTGCGATCTTGCCGTCCATCAAGAATGCTACGGCGTTCCCTTCATTCCCGAGGGCCAATGGCTCTGCCGGAAGTGCCAACTGATAGGGCGGGGCATCCCGGTAAGTCCCAAGTCCCAGTCCCAATAACCTAGTGTGCTGTTGTTGCCATCCCAAGCCCTTGCGTTTGGGTCTAGCAAGACATGTCACTGACGTTGTGCCCGCTCCCGCCTCACAGACATGCATCTTCTGCCCCAACACAGATGGGGCCTTCAAGCAAACCAACTCGTCCAAATGGGCGCATCTGCTATGCTCCATGTGGATTCCAGAAATATCGCTGGGCAACCACACATTCATGGAGCCGGTCATGGACGTGGAGAAGGTGCCCAAGACCCGTTGGAGGCTGACATGCTATCTCTGCAATCAGCGCATGGGTGCCTGTATACAGTGTGGTAACAAGGCCTGTTACCAGGCATTCCATGTCACGTGCGCGAGGAGGGCACGGCTATATCTAAAGATGAAGAACAGCCAAGGCGCTCTCGCTGTGCTGGATGGCAACATGATTCTCAAGGCCTTCTGCGACAAGCACTGTCCAGCAGACTACACCAAGGAGAACAACGTGGCCCAGGCTACCAAAGCGGCCAAGAGGTTTTACAAAAAGGCCATGAAGGGGAGGCTCTGGGCGGCGAGCCAAGATTCTGCCGCGGAGCTCGCTGCCACCCACCGCCACGCCATCCCCGACCACGCTGCGGAGGAGTCGCAGATGACTGGCGTAAAGGTCAACGCGGTCCTATCGGACAAGAAGAGGGGCCAGCCGCAAAAGTGCTGGTGGAGGCTGCCTTCTGGCGCCCCCGTGATCCCCCTGGCCGTCCTCACCAACGTCGAAGGCGCAATGCAGCGGTTTCCTTTTAGCAAGAGGAAAGATTTCGTGGCCGAGGCCTGCAGATACTGGACCCTGAAGCGTGAATCACGACGGGGCGCGGCACTTTTGAAGCGCCTGCAGCTGCAGATGGAGACCTTCTCATCGATGGAGCTGACACGGCGCAACTTTAGTGCCATGGGGCCGTCTGGCAAGCCGAGACTGCAGAGGAGGATCGAGTTTGCAAAAACGCTCCTCCGGGATCTGGAACAGCTCAAGACTCTGTCGGAGGAGATCGTGAAGCGCGAGCGTGACAAGCTGGAGGAGGCCGAGCTTCAGCAAGAGTTTGTCGACACGTGCTATTTCCCTATTTTCAAGTTGTTGTTACCGGTCATCGAGAAGGCTATTGCGTAAGTTGGACACACTCACATCCCTAGCCCTCCGTCGCCTTACTGGTCTGGTTGTATTATGCATATCCGTACGGCACTCATACTAACAAGGCACCCTTCTCCAGGCTCGACAAGAGCGTCTTCCAGGATGGCCTGGCAGGACTACAGAGCAAACTTGAGGCACGATACTACACCACGACGCTCTCTTTTGCACACGACCTGTGTGAGGTAATCCATGTTGGCATCAACTCGGCCCCCGCCGCGTCAAAGTCGCAACCGGCCCAAACAGCCCCCGAACATGCAGACACTTCGCCTGCCAAATCCAGTGGCTTTTCGGAAGCCAGAGACCGCAAGCGACTGGGCAAGCGGATGCTCAAGGCGGTCCAGCCGCACCTGGAGAATGCACTACGCGCCGAGGCTGACATTGCCAACAAGCCTTTTGAGAATATGGTTAAGGAATTGGAGGGAATGATCGACGCAAGCGTGGAGCTGAGACAGGCATCTATCACCGTCTCCCAGGATGAAGCACCGGTCGAGGCGGACCAGGACGTTGTCATGGTGGATACACTCGACGAAGGCCAAATCATCGTGGCCGGCCAGGGCGAGCATGTGGTGACTCTTGTCGAGAACGAGGAGGACCCGTCCGGAGCTGGAGATGGTATGGAGGTTGACGAGGCAGTCGACCATGACCCCGGCAGTATCGTGGTTACGACCCACATGGACAATTCCTTGGCAAAGGCCAATGGCTCCATGTCGTCAACACCGTCAGTGGCAGACCAGGTTGTGCAGGTGACTCTGGACAAGAACGACATGGTCATGGCCAACGGCACCGTCAAGCCTTCAGACACGCCTCCTGCGGATGGCGACTACATGCCCATGGCGCAGCCGGCGCACACGGGGCCGCTCACGCCGCCGCAGTCAAACGGCGGTCTTGGAGGCGGGGCGACGGACGTGCTGACCGACGGCGGGCTGCCTTGGTACCTCAAGGGCTTCAGCGTTGAGGGCACGTCGGCGGCCGAGGAGCAATGGCCGGGCAGGGACGCCGTCCGCAGCCTGAGCGAGGACCTGACGGACATGGACGACGAGGAGCTCAACGGGCTCGAGTTCGACGTCGAGGACAGCACCATCACGGCCTCGCCCGTCAACCCGGCCGCCGAGGCGACGGTGAGCGCGTCTCTGGCCACCCCGTCTGCGCGCAAGAGGAGCGGCGGCGGCGCCAAGTTCAGGAAGGGGGTCAGGGCTTCGGCTAGAAGACGATAGTCGGTGACCCAAGGCAGGAAATTCTGGGCAGCAAAGGGGCCCTCCCTCTTCGCCCTTTTTTTTTTTTTTTTTTTTACTTCGTATTCTTTTCGACTCGTTTATTTCTTTTTCTCTGTACCATAACCCCCGCGGCTTTTTCTTTTTGATTCATCTTTTTGGCGCTGACCTCTGACCACCCGTCACTGGGGTATCGAGGCCAGCTTGGGATTTCCGAACTGATCGCGACGCTTATATGGTCATGTGGTGGGCCCCACCTAGTATTGTTTTTGATCGGTTTTTTTTTATCATCCGGCTTGGTTTTTGATTTCTCGGAACGTTTTATCTTCTCATCCCCTGTCTTTTATTTTTTATCCGAACTCGGTACCTCAGCACGGCGTTCCAGCAGCACGCTTCTGACGTGTGCTCTCTTTCACTTGCGCCTCCTCTGCCTTAGGTTCTACTCTTCTCTGTTTCTCTTCTTCTTCTTCTTCTTGTTCCTGTGAGATACACCAAGACCTACTCGGGGGGAGAGATTCGCTACCACGGCGTCGAAAACCAGCCTGCTCGTTTTCCATGTCATTTGCCACTTGCCCTTCTGGCCGCTTACCGTTTCCTAGTCTGAAATGCCCGATCTGCTCGGTTCTGGACCAATTAATCGATTCCCCGAACCTGGCACGAACAATGCCGTTACATAGATCGTGTGTCATTCCTTTGATTTGGTCTCGGGAAAAATTGGGATATGATATCTGCACTTGAACCGGCATATCAAGGTCTCTGGTAATTCCTTGGCGCTGTAGCATGGCCTCTGAGCAATGTCGCAGTGATCACAGCTGTGGGAGTCACGTGTTCTGCACTACGGGATATAGCAGGCTGACGTATGTAGAGTGGGGAAATAAAAAAACAGAAGAAAAACCCCCGGTCGGCAACGAGCAAATGGAGGGGCCCTGGGGAGCCACGTGCGGGGAAGAGCCGAATATCCCTAGATTTCCTCTCTCGTCCAACCCATCAGGAAATGAATGATTCCGATGTATTTCTCGCCCTTATATCCCTTGTTTGTTCTGGAGGCCAGGAATTCGACGGCACTCGAGGGTAGAGATGAAGAAGCATAATGGGCACAGTTTACGCGGCGAAGGTGCAGCCCTGCTAGGAGCCAGTCGCCCGGAGTTGGGGTATAATGATATAAGAAAATGTCGTAAACAGGGGGTCATGTGTACATGGGTGCAGATATGTGGTACCTACCTATCTAACATTATAATAACTGAGGGGGGGCAAGGGAACCGAGCCGCCTCGCTCCAAGGCCGATCATGACGAAGATCTGGCAGATCATTGCGGTACCAACACAACGTGGTGGCTTTTTCTCAAGGCTTCACATTTCTCCGATGCGGAAACAAGAGATAAGGTCGGGTTGTGGCTGATCGAAGACGAATGAAGGACCGTGTCCCGGCAGGTGCTTGCAGGAAAAACAAAAAAAAAATTTAAAAAATTTAAAAGATAAAATAATAATAGAGAGAACGGGAGAGAACAGAACAGGGCTCTCTCTCCACTGGAAGGCCGCCCCCCACACCTACCTCGTGATGTGCAGATACTGGAGCCGTCCGTCCATTCGGTGCCCGCCCTGCGGGGGCCAACGGCGCAAGCAATTCGAGGCTGATGGGATGGGACGGATGCCCTATACAAATTTCTTGCACACATGGATCAGGGGGCCGGGCGCGAACCGCCCGCTGGTCTTGGGAGGTGGCCCAAATTGTTTCCCGATCGGTCTGTTGGTGAGGGTCGGGGTGCTGGCATCGCATCTCGCCTTCACGCTACATAGGTACCCACTTCCCAGCCGCTGCGAGGCAGGCGGTCTATTGTTGGGTCACGAGTTTAGATGAGGGAGCAGAAAGGAGAAGGAAGAGAAGAGGGATGGAGAAAGGATGATGCTTGCATGTTGAAGAGCTGTCCGTCGTAGATGCCAGGTGCAGAAGCAGAGCGGCGCCGCACCGAGACAGCGAGGCAGGGGCAAGTAATATCAATGAGAGGAAACCTTGGAAGGGTGCCCTATAGATTCAGAATGCGCATTAGGGCGATGAGGTTGATTCCCTGCTGCGGCGTGCGCAAGAAATTGGAGCCCAAGACTCGGGCGCCGCTCGCCAAGAGGTCAGTGGGCGAGACCGGTGGCTGCCAAGGTCGTGCTACCGTGCTTGCTGCCTGTAGGCATACCTTAGTACCTACCACTTGATGATGCCTTCCCGGTCTTGTCGGGGGGACTAGCCTGGCGCCTGTCTGTCCTGTCTGTAGCACAGCCGGTTGGCCCAAGAGGCAGGTATCAGGATATTGTCCGGCAGCTCCAATCGGGCACATCTCCATCATACGACTGCGGTTTGGTTTAGTTATGAGAAGGGGTCAAATGAGGCTGGGACTGGGGTGAGCTTTCTGGCGCAGGGGTCGTCAGCTGTGCCGGCGACTTATGCGCGCGACTCCAGGGAACGATGGAATGTGTCAGGGAAGGGAAGGGGCGGCAAAGTGCCGACGAAGAGCTCCATCCAGCGCAGGTCGGGACAGACATCCATGGTTCGAGTTGCCGCCATGGTGTGGTGCGGGTTCAAGAGCCATGTGAGCAGGAGCCGTCCGCTTCAGAGCGTGGGCTGGAATGTGACGAGCGAGGATGGAGGTGATGTGGGTGGGCTGCCAGCCGTGCCAGCCGTGCCAGCCATTTCCGCACAAAGGCGTGCTCACTCAAGCCCCCAGGCCTGACGCACGACCAGGCAGTCGGGTACTACCAATTTAGGTTCTCGGCATCCCCTACCTATCGCGCGGCAAGCATCACGGCCGTGGCAGCCAGCAAACAAGCTCGCATGCGTTAGGTTGGCAGATGGACAGGGCTGCTAGTAGTGGTGGAGGCCATTCATTCTCTCAGTACCTGAACGGTGACGTTTTGGCGGTGTAAGCAGGCACACAGCCCCAGCAGCCAGGTACCTCTCCACCATTGGGTTGCCAGAACCCGGGCTGGCCAATCACCCGCCCCAGTCGCCTCAAGGGCGGGGGCCCCCCGTCCATGCTCGCCCTCCCATGCTCCCTCCTGCCAGATACGAAACTGAAGCAGAGCCGGCCTTCAGTCTCCTGTCCAGCTCGCTTTTTCCCCCTTCTCCCGCAGGCCTGGCACCTCCCCACCGACACACACCCAACATCTTCTCCTACCCAGCAGACAGATCTCGGCGACCAAAGTCCTTGACCAAAGGCACCTACCACCCTGCGACAACCGTCTCCCAACCGGCGCGCCGGAGCAGATTACACCATCTTGATACTGGATTCATTCATCTCTACACACAGCATCAACTTGGACTGTTGACCTGCCGCACGGTCAACAAACAAAAAATAACATTGCACCCGCGGATTCCGGCGACTGGCAGGCTTTGCCAAACCCCCCAGAAAGAGGGAAAGAAAAAAAAATAGAAGCCACAAAACCACCCGCGCTCAACCACCTCGCTGGCTGCCCTTCCCGCCGCCGACCTTGCTGCCGGCAATTTTCCCTTTTAGATTTTTTTTTTCTCCCGCATCGTCCCTCGCAACCGTCATTTTCCCATCAAGCCTACCCCGACAAGCCCATCTCTCCGGGCTACAGGCGACAAAGGCCCTCTGGCCGCAACCATACCCACCCGACGCTGACAAACGAGCTGCCGAGAAATTTTTCGACGCGACAAGTTTGTTCTGTAAACACTGCCCACCGAGCCCCCAAGAGCGTTAATCCAGGAGCCCACTCGCCGCCACCGACGCCGCGAAAGTCGCCCCCCACCAACCAGCTGGCAGCAGCAATTTCGACGACGCAATCCAAAGCGACTCCCGCCAGCGCAAATCGACACATCTCCATCGGCAAATCTTGCGGCATCATCGTGGCATCCATTCCATATACATTGAGCTGCTCCTTTTGCCCACGCGAGCGCCGTCTGAGTGTACGTCGAGCCATCGCACCCGACTCACCATTGAATGACTGCCTCATCCGCCCCAACAACCTCGTCGTCCCCCCACATCTCTCTGCCCACTCACAGCAACCCTCATCCCGCTCGTCGCCGTCGGCCTGGTCCTACGATCCCTCTCGTCCGCTGACAACCTCGTAATTAAGTGTTCCCGGAGGTCCATCGTCTCGTCGCGAGCGGCTGGCCGGTAGAGAGAGTCCCGCCCCCTTCCCAGACCCCGCTCCGAGGCTGCCATCAAGAAGGGTTCGCCAGCGACTTCATCTCGTCTCGCCCACCACAACCCGCCAGCTCCGCGGCAGGCGCCAAAGACAAAGATGGCGGATCAGCACGACGTTGATCTCGACTCCATCATCGACCGACTGCTCGAGGTCCGGGGTAGTCGTCCCGGAAAGCAGGTCCAGCTGCTCGAGGCCGAGATCAGATACCTCTGCACTAAGGCTCGAGAGATCTTCATCTCACAGCCCATCCTACTTGAACTCGAAGCTCCTATTAAGGTCAGTGCCACGCAACTCGTATTGGCCCTTTTTTCTTCTTTTTTTTTCTTCGATGCGCCATGTTGCACGCCTCCTTTAGGACATGTCAACATATTGGCCCCCTAGACTCTGCATTACCGCTATACCTTGCTGGAGTCGGGTCTTCCTTGAGATTATTTGCTCTTGCCTGATGGTCCCATTCTCCCCCGTCTATTTGGCTGTATCTTGACGGCTCAATCACTCACCATGCTGTCCATCGTCAGATTTGTGGTGATATACATGGGCAGTACTACGACCTGCTCCGGCTCTTCGAATATGGCGGTTTCCCTCCCGAGGCCAACTACCTCTTCCTTGGCGACTATGTCGACCGAGGCAAGCAGTCGCTCGAGACCATCTGCCTTCTTCTCGCCTACAAGATCAAGTACCCGGAAAATTTCTTCATCCTTCGAGGAAACCACGAATGCGCGTCGATCAACCGTATCTACGGTTTTTACGACGAATGCAAACGCCGGTATAACATCAAGCTCTGGAAGACGTTCACCGACTGCTTCAACTGCCTACCCATCGCTGCCATCATCGACGAAAAGATCTTCACAATGCACGGTGGCCTGAGCCCCGACCTGAATTCCATGGAGCAGATCCGCCGAGTCATGCGCCCAACTGACGTGAGTACACACATGGATATCTGGCGGTAGGCTGAGCACTAACATGGTACTAATCTTGGCCTTCTCTGCAGATTCCCGACTGCGGCCTGCTCTGCGACCTTCTGTGGTCTGATCCCGATAAGGACATCACTGGCTGGAGCGAGAACGATCGCGGAGTGTCCTTCACATTTGGCCCTGACGTGGTCTCGCGCTTCCTCCAGAAGCACGACATGGATCTGATCTGCCGCGCCCACCAAGTGGTCGAGGATGGCTACGAATTCTTCTCCAAACGCCAACTGGTCACCCTGTTCAGTGCACCCAACTACTGTGGAGAGTTCGACAATGCCGGTGCTATGATGTCGGTCGACGAGAGCTTGCTGTGCTCCTTCCAGGTTCGTTGATCTTACCTCTAGCTCTGCCATCCCCGCGGAGCATCCGTACATCTTCCGAGTTAAGCGTCACCAGACGAGAGAAGCAGTTTGACTGACAGAAAACCGCGGTCTTGCCTATAGATCCTCAAGCCAGCTGAGAAGAAACAAAAGTACGTTCAACGCCTAGGAGGCAGAAGCTCCAATGCTTCCTCCAGGACCAACTCGTCCAAACCCTGAACAGTGAATTCACACCAACCCGCTTCGGTCTTCTAGGTTCGGACGCGGCCGCTAGTTTCTTCTCGATCGCCACCACCGAGGACCCCATCTGCTCTCTGTCTCTCCCCCCCAAGCGGCTAGGCGCTGTGTCGCATTTGCCTTGTGAAGTTTCTACTTCGTATTCTTCTTTTTTGCCTCGTCTGCTTAAAATCATATTTTGTTTCCTTTTTTTTTCTTCCCCCTCTTTGAGACTCTTTTTGCAACGGCCCTGGTTTCACCGCCGGTCCCGATCAGCCACCACCGACACGCACCGTCGATTCTAATCATAGCAGTCGGCCATTGCCCTCATGGCACCGCTGCTCTGGGCTCTTGCTGCAGCAAGAAAAGACGGGATTATGCACACAACTTGTTGGAATCAAACGAACTTTGACGAGAGCTTTCCATTGGGCAGGCATGGTTGTCGATGTGTTGTGGTTGGCACGCATGGCCAATCCTTGATCAACGGGGGAATATAGATAACGATCCTACTTTGACCAACTATGACCTTTATGATGACTGTCGCCTGGACCCTGTTAAGCAGGGGGCATTCTATTGCTGAGGCCCAGGATTCCCAATGCAGCCGACGCCTTGCCCGGTGGCTCTTCAGCAGGTGGGTATGGCACTCCTCGATAATACTTCGACTAGGTTGATGCTGGCGAGCGAGCATATATGTGAGCTTTAGTTGCGTCCCATGAGAGCGGATGGAGGAAGCCAAGGCCGTGTCGCGAGGCTTTGGGTTGAGTGGACAGACCACGACTGCTGAGCGAGTTCATGTGTCTTGCAGCTTCCCATTTGTATTGTTCAACGGCAGTTGGTTTGAGTCTCTTAGGTACACAAGGTAGCTTCCTAGCTGTCTAGGTACCTACCTCTCTGCCATATCGCAACCGAGTATAGACTGACTTTTACTGGCAGTCCTCACATTTTGGCTCGGACCCAGCTAGGTCAGCGGCCGCGCTGACGGCGGCACGGTGTGCGAGATCGACGCGTTCGGCCGCCGCAGCCTTTTCCTTGGCCTCGGACTCGGCGGCCCGTTTCTCACGCTCCGCTTCCGCCTCTACCATCTTGCGGATGATACGCTCCACCTTATCTACCGCGCTCTCCTTGGGCTCGGGTGCCGTCGACGTTGCAGTGATCTTTGGCGATGGTCGAGGCTGTGACGGCGGAGTGCCGACTTCTACAGGGCGGCCGACAGATTCCTGCCGCGCACTAGCCGTCTCACCTTTCTCCTCCACAGTAGCATCACGGACCGAGGCCGAAGCCGCCGGCGCCGGGCGGGGCGGGTAATCCCGGTCGACGTGGCCGAGGTTCCGACCGGGCTCGATGACGTCCCGCAGGCGACGCTTGAGCTCCTTGGTCTCGGGGAAGCCGCCGTCCACCTTGCGGTCCCAGAGCGTGCGCGCCAGGGCCGCCGCCGCCGCCGGGGGTGGGGGTACTGTTCCTACGCCTGCTGATGATGATGATGCTGGTTCTGGCGTTGGTGGGACATGGTGTATCTGGACGACAAAGACGCCGCCGGTTGCTGGCTGGAGAGCAACCTCGCCCAAGGAGGTGGAAAAGGTTGAAAGGAGCTCTTGGGCGTACTAGCCTCGCGCCAACACCCAGTTTGTCAGTTCTCGTTCCGCTGTGGCTACACCTACCGGCCATGTGTTGTCTACCTGGGTACCTACTTGCCTACCTAGTAGGTAGGTAGGTAGGTAGGTAGGTAGGTACCTAGGTGGGGGCAAGAGGGTACAGGGCGTAGCCTCTCGAGGCTAGGAAGACTGCTGGTTCCCCTCCAACTCCTCTGTATCATTCTACCCGTGCAGGCACAACGGGCATCCCATCGGGTCCGCGCGTGTGGGTGTGTGAATGGGATGTATGGATAGATGAATACCGCTCAGAGGACGGTAGATCCGTTGTTTTTCTCCCCACCCTTTCCCCTCTCATCCAAGCCGGGGACGACGCGAGTGTGATGGAATGGATGAATACACGGAAAGAAAAAGAAGAAAAACGCACATATGCCGCACGGAGCATCCACTTGCACTGCGTACAAAACTTAATCGTGACCCGGGGAAGCGGGATCTGAGCATCCACGGCTGGTCTAGACGGCAGGCGGCCCTCGTCATCACCATGCGTGCCGCCAGGCTGCGCGGGTTGCGGCAGGGTAGTCGCGCCCACGGTGGGCGGCGATGACGGCAGCGGCAGTGGTGGCTTGGGCTCGGCGCTCATTTTTTCCTTGCCAATCATCGATGCCGCCTCCTCTTCTCTCGCCGCCGGCTGATATTCCTCGTCTTTTTGTTTTCTTTGATAGGTCAGGTTAGCTTTTTTTCTTTCTCCCCCGCACCCTCCCTCTCTATATTAATCTCTTCTCTTTTCAATGATGGATGGGGGACAAAAGGGACTGTTATGGGGCGAGGCGAGGAACAGGCTCGATCGACATCCACATCGGCTGGCGAGGGAGCGAGGAGTGGCGATGGATGCGGAGGAGGGCAGGTTCGTGTGGGTTGCGAGGGGGGTATGTTGGCATGTGTCTGTGTTTCCGGGACCTGACGCCTAGTCTGGTCCGTGAAGGGGGTTCCTCTCACTGTTTTGCTGAGTGTTTCGGTGTTGAGGGGGAAACAACGGGCAATCGAGATGTTCCACCAAGACAGCATGCAGGTTTGTCATGTGTTTCCCCGATGAGAGACAAGCTTAGGTGAGGGGTTGGTTGGTCATGGCGCTTTGTGTGTGTGTGCGTGCTTTTTTTTTACAGGGGAGCTTCTCGGATGGTGAGAAGATGCGCGCGAGGGCCTCTTCCACCCGAAAATGCCATGGAGCTCGGGCAAGATGGTGGAGTTTGGCGCACGGGTACCTCTCAAGAACTCAAAACTCAGGCTAGGTAGTAGCCTCCTCGCTAGTTGGCTAGCCCTGCCTATTGGTTGGTCAGATGGGGGCCGCGGGCTTGGGAGGAAAAACACTTCTGGGAGGCCAGAGACAGAAGCTTGTATATAACAAAAGGGCAAAAAAGAAGGAAAAAAGAAAAAGAAAAGAGCAGACGAAGTCGAGCGGCAGGCAGCACCTCGAGCCTGCCCCGAGACGGTCTTGGCACCAAGAAGGAAAGGACAGCTAAAGGCTCCTTCCTCCAAAGTCCGTCCGTACTCAGTGAAGTGACCCACCACCTCCGACCCACCCCCTCCCAGGTCGGGCGACGCATGCCGGCACACCCCTGAGCGGTCTCCCCGCGTTCTAGGTGGGCATCGATGCCGCGCATAAAGAAAAAAAAAAGGTGTGCGGCCATTAGGTGGTCAGCCGCGCCCATGTGGATAAGGCGGGTTGGCTTTGTGGGATGGGTTGGAGAGGAAGCCTTGCGGGACGACGTGTCGGCCACGAGCATCAAAAAAGAGACGGGAGCCACAGCAGCGGCAGCGGCAAGCCCCAAACACGAATCGCCTGGGCCACGGGAAAAGTTTGCTGTATCAGATTCTGCATCAAAGGCCTCAGACGCCCGTCTCCCTGTGTCACGTCACCCCGGCATCCGCCTGCGAGCAACGAGAACGACCAAAGAAAGATACGAGGCGCCGGGCCGCAGCACCCATAAACATGAGCAACCGAGGCGGGTCATACGAGATATCAATATGCAAGAAAAAAAATAGGTGTCCATTTGTCAAGGTATTGCATGCCGCAATAACGCGTACGAGATATAGCAGATGGCGCCGCCAGCACAGGGCTTCCCAGGGCACTTGAGGGAACGAGTGAAACGGGCAGCGCTGTAGACAGGAGCAAGGGGTAAGAAATGTTCAAGAAAACAGGGTGACGGCTGGCCGCATCCATGGTGGGAATCGGTTCGTGATCGAGGAAAAAAAAGGGAAACAAAAATGGGGGACTGACGGAGAGATGGGGTGTTGGTTGTCGACAGAAATAACAGCGGTGGAGGGGCCGAGGCAGAGCGAGAAACAGGGAGATAACTAAAGGGTCATTGACTAGTAGTAGAACAGAGGAAGGAGAAGAATAAAAAGCGTTTATTACATCAAGAGTGAGCGAAGAAAAAAAAACACAAAAGAAAGATAAAAAGTGCAGCCTGCTTTGTCTGCCAATGAATCAAGAAACCATCCGAGCAAGGAATAAGTGAAAATAGAAAGAAAACCTCCAGGCAGGCAGGAGGTGAGTAGAGGAGATACCATTATCGTGAGGCCCGATGAACCCTGCCGTCCTCCGTCGCATGCATTTCGTCTTGCGCAACCCAACGCTGCAAACACGGGGGAATGAGGCCATCGCGAGGTCCCGGAAGGCGCGCTGGCTGTGGAAAGTTCGGCTCCCCAAAGTGCCTCGTGGGTACTTGTTGCGATGAGGTTGTTTGTCGGCGCTCCCTTTCTTCCAGGCTATTTCAGCTTCCTCCCTTGTTTTCTTTTCCCTTCTCTTTCCAGACACCGTCGGGATCTCGTCCTCATCTTGCGCGTCCGCCACATCTACTTCGTCGTCGGTATCTCCTCGTAGTAGTGAAAAAAAAGTAGCCTTCCGATGGCACGTCGTTGCCCTTGAGCTTTTGCGGATCCACTTCGAGTTTGGGTATCTGGAGCGCTTCGACAATATCAAAACATCGAGCTGGCGCCGAGTGTTGCGTAACAAGGCGCGGTATTGCCTCGCCGTCCTCGTCCGGCCTGCAACCATTTGGTAACTTCGGATTGACCCGGGCCATCTACATCACCAGACAGCACCCGCCATTCTGTTGTGGCGCATACGGATCCTCGCCCTTGGGGACGACGCACCAAACTGATGGGACCATGTAGTCCCGGGTGCTGTTGCAGTATGCAATTATGCTTTCGAGGGACGAGTAGTGTCAGTACCACATGTGTCCGATTGGCAATCGCGAAGCCGCCGTTTGCTCCCGCGTTGTCCACGAACCAGGCGACCGGGGCGATGGAAACAAGACAACTTGGGAAGTCGGAAATATGTCGGCGAAAGGCAAAAAAAAAAAAAAAAAGCCATTGCTCTTACCTCTTGGATGCTTGGCTTACGGGGATCCGTTCCCGCTCCAGGTCCTCCTTCAATCGACTGTTGAGCTCGGTCAACCGGCGCAGCTTCAGATCGGCCATGCTCTGCTTATTCCTCCTGATCTGCGACGGGTCGCCCATGTCTCTCGACGTGTACTGCGGCATTTCGGCTACGGTGGCGGACGGGCTCGAGTCGCGGGTGGCGACAGAGGGCTGAGATGCGACGGCGGGTGGGCGCGACGGGCCAGGCTGTGCACTTCGAGAGGGTTGCCTGCTGCTGCTATTGCTGCTCCCGGCGGCGGCAGGGCGGCGGCTCTGAGGGTGCTGCTCCTGAGTTTCCGGACACTCGCTATCCTGTGGTGGATTCATGGCGACAAGTCAGCGACGGGGTCGGGGGCAGCGAAAAGAGTGCGAGCGAGCGTGATGCTGGCGATTGCGGGAAGGTGAGGTGGCTGCGAGGTAGAGGTGGTGGCGTCGAGCGCCAGCCTTTCGGGATGCGTCTGGAGCGCTCTTTTTCGTTCTTTTGTTTACCCTTCCGCTGGTGCCGGCTCTGGCTCCCTAGCATCAGGCGCCAGGATGCCTCTCCTTTTTTGCTCTTTCTTTCGTTTCCTTTTTTTTCTCACTTCGTTTTCTTTCCTTGCTGACTGACTCCTCTCGTTTGCGGCACCGCGTGTTCCAGATCACGAGCCTGGTGTTTGTTTTTCTACCTCTTGCCGTTTTCACCTGGGCTTTTTTGACTTTGGGTTGCAAGGGGTGGGAAGCAGGGACAGATATTGTCCGACGTGATGCAGAAGGGCAGAAGGGCAAAATGGGGGGGGGGGGGGGGGGGGAGGG